ATATATATATATATAATCATTATTTACCAAATATAATACATAATTTCTCGATTAGTGAAACAAATTATAGAATAGAGAGAATAAAGAAAAAGATAGAAATAGAGGGAGACGACGAGGGAGTATTGATCTCTGGATGCTTACCATTGTTCATTGATTTTATCATATGCTCTCATAGTATTCGAATCCAACCTTAGACCGGCATCGTTTCCGCGAGGTAAGTCAATCTGCTAATACTTGTCAGATTATTCAGTTCTAATTTGAAAAAAGGATTAAGTTGATACATTGCAGTTACATGCGTAAAGATATTAGTATGAAAAATCGGTGAGGTCGACCTCGATAGTAAGCAAATAAATTTTATTTGGTTAATAAACGTGCATAAACAAGAGTTTCTAGTTTTTAGTTTAATTGAACTAAGTATTTCTCTCTTCTTTAAATATATGGCCGAGAAGTTGTAAACTGAAGAGATTTTTAGATCATTGTGATTTGCGCGATTATGTAACCATGCATGTAAATAACTATTTATAGTCAAAGGTCATATATTCCATATTAATACAAACTGAAATAAAGAGTTCCTTTTAATTACAATAAATCACTCTTAATTTATCTTTATATTTACTAATCAATATTATAACCAAAGTATTTTTCACGTTTCATAATATATTTATAATTTAAACCAAAAAAATGAAATATAAATAAGTACACAATATTTTTTAATCCTATTTAAGCTAAGAGCCAATATAACAAGCAAAACAAGGAAGATATGTGAAACATTAAGCATCAAGTAGAATCAAGTTTAGAAGAATGCGAACAACTAGCGCCGCACAGAGCACGGTGTGGCCTTCCTAATGACATAACAAAAGTACTTAAGCACAACAGTNAAAAAAAAAAAAAAAAAAAAAAAAAAAAAAAAAAAAAAAAAAAAAAAAAAAATCAAGTAATAATAATTTTTACAATATTGTAACCATTCAATTAATTAAGGTTTTTAGTGGAGATAAAAAAGTCAGCGACACGAGCAGGATTCGAACCCACGATCTTCGTCTAGATACGCCGCTGCTCTAACACTGGAGTTGAGATGGGAAGTTAGTGTCCGAGTGGATCGAGGTCGCGATAGCTCAAGTGGTAGAGCAGCGGCATATCTAGCCGAAGAACGTGGGTTCGAATCCCGCTCGTGACACTGACTTTTTATCTCAACTAAAAACCTTAATTAATTGAAAGATATTAATTGGTCAAGCGGACCACGAAAACTAGTGAATTGTAACCATTGTCCTTTCAAAAAGAGGTTTTATCGATTTTGGCTTTATTCGAAACAATTACATTTTCTATTTGGTTCGAACAATTCAGAAGAGGAAAGATTAAATAAAGACTTGTTTGTCACTGGCCGCCCATGTCTCTTTTAAGCAAGCTTTCCGCAATGTTAAAATATAGCTCTTGCCTCGGCCAAATAAACAATCGAATTTCTGTTCAAAATTAATTTTTAAAGTTAATCAAAATGGGGTCCACCTGATCCCGTTATATATTTGTTGTTCAATTTGACATGCTGAACATAAAAAAATGTTTGGTTAGAATTTCTATTGATGCTGGGTGATGCTCTGTGAGTCGGTGAACCACATGCACGGTCGCTTAAAGGGTTTTTACTCGCAGGTGTGTTGAACTACTCAAGCGCGTTTCGATCTGCCATCTGCCAGAAGGTGACCCAATGCCGGTTACTTAGAACGAATGTGTTATGTGGAGCAAACAATTTTCAACCGTGGTGTTAATTTTGATGCGAGCATGGTGGCGACTAGACTAAAAATCAAGAAACCCGCCTGAAGTTTGCAGGAAAGCCTCGCGTGCGGCGATTAATGGTCTGGCTTTAGTTAAGCACTGCTCGTTGTGTTGATTTCCTTTTCAAGTTAATAAAAAGCAATTAAGATAAAGGTTGGGATAATTTGAAATCGATTGTACGGATCGGGCACGCCAGATCACAGAATCGTTGATTATTTTTAATTCTGATGAACCGCCGTAAGTTTCATTTAATAATAGCTGTCTGTTGTTGCAGGAGGGAGCAGAGAAAACCGCAGGTACCCAGTACTCGTGTACGTACACGGAGAGAGTTATCAATGGAGTACGGGAAACGTGTTCGACGGAACTGTGCTCGCCAGTTACGGGGGCCTTGTCGTCGTTACTATAAATTACCGCCTGGGAATTTTAGGTGAGTTTGCACTTTATAAATTTTTATAAACGATGTCCAACGTACACTACACGCACTATTCTTATTTTTTAATAAGGATAATTTTTATAATATTAACAGTTCGTTAAAAACATAAGCTAAAATATTGTGTATAACTATCCACTGGTTTAACGTATATAGGAGAGTGATGAATAAATATATCATTTAATCTAAATAAAACAATTATGTGAATATTATTTGCAATATATTTGCATTAAGTTTCTATAGCATAAACGTTACCATATTTCTGTTTCGCTTAATGATTTTGAATTAACTTCTTTGCTTGCTGCTTTATTTACCATCTTTTAGTAGATCTGTTTATTAAGAAATAAATAATGAAATATTAAGCCCAAAAATATAAATAATTGTGTACTATGCTGTTGGAGTGCAACTGTATAATAAATTTAATGTATATAATTTTTGGAAAAAAATTAGGTATATGTTATGTATCTTAGATTTTAAAAATTTAATTTTAATATAATTATTATTAGAGTAGTAACAATCGAATTAATGCAGTAGAACTAGACTATTACTATATAAAAATGCTGTTCTAATTATGGCTAAATACCCACAAAAAGACTAAACAAGAAACAGCTCATCTAAACACCCATAAAGTAATGTGTGATTACACCGATGTGTAAAGTATATTAAAATTTAAAAAAATAATAGTACATAAACAATTGCAAAGATACTGTTTTTTAGGGAACCGTAATAAAGGACAGACAAAGCTAGAAGCTTTGTCAAGTAATAATGGAAAAAAAGAGCAAATCGTTGTTTTTGATATATATATATATATATATATATATATATATATATATATAGAGAGAGAGAGAGAGAGAGAGAGAGAGTGAGAGAGACGGATGGGACGTACAGACAGGCAGACAGATTTACAGATAGATAGGTAAATTGAGCGAGATATAGAGTTTGTGTGTGTGTGTGTGTGTGGTGTGAGTGTGAGAGAGAGCGAGAGAGAGAGAGAGAGAGACAGACAGACAGACAAACAGACAGACAAACGGATGGAACGTAAGACAGAATAACAGATTGACAAAGAGATAGATAAATAAAGAGAGAGAAAGAGTGAAAGAGNTGTGTGTGTGTGTGTGTGTGTGTGTGTGTGTGTTTGTTCATAGCCGTTGGCGTTTTTTCCTTCGATATTTCGGGAGAGAAAGAGAGAGAGAGAGAGAGAGAGAGAGAGAGAGAGAGAGAGCGAGAGAGACAGACAGACAGACAAACAGACAAACGGATGGAACGTAAGACAGAAGAAAAACAGATTAACAGAGAGATAGATAAATAAAGATAGAGACAGAGTGAAAGAGAGAAAGAAAAAGGGTGAGAGAGAGAGAGAGTGAGAGAGAGAGTGAGAGCGTGAGCAAGATATATGTAGAAAGCGTAGAGTATCCCAGTCGTGATAGCTTGGTATAATGGTGGATAAAAGGTTCATATTTTATTTATGCTATTGCATTGTTTTAATTGTTTCTAGTACTGTTTGTTTATTAGAATTATAGTATAATAATTCATTGGAATCAACATCTAGAAACTTGTCAGTGTGCATTGGAAAAATGCAAATAAATAGGTAATACACGCACTATAAACTTGTTTTATTTTTCAATCAGTTAATCCTGGCTAAAGTAAGTTAAAACCCACTGTTATTTAACAAAATCCGTGGTCTCTCAAACAACGGACCATCAGACGGATTTCAAACGGACCGTAAACGCGTGTTTCTCCAATCTGCATTCCCAAGATTCATTCGGCTGCAAGGAACCTCAAAGGTTTTCCCATTTCAACCCGAAAAAAACTACGATGTCATGAGTAATTTGTAACAATACAAATATCAAAGGAATCCTGACATTCCTCTGCCTTAATTTCCGACCCTCCACCCATACATGCAAATAGGTTTGAGTAGGTATGTGTATGTCGAAAGTTTTGATTTTAATGGTAATTTTGATTGTTGGTTAAGTAGGTAATAAAACATTTTACATCGTTTGTTGAGTGTCTGATTTTTTAATCGTGTGTGTGTGTGTGCGCGTGTGTGCGTGTGTGTGTGAGAGCCCTCCTCCTCTCCGTTATTGGTACATTTCAGTTACCTTTATACCATCCATCCATCGGCACGGGTCGCATAACAACTTAGATTGGGGCTGGAGAGTGAGTTTTGGATTGGGTTTGGGGTATGAAGAGAGGTAAGGTTTGGGGTGTTGGGATTAGGAGGTGACCGGTCTAGCTCCTGTTCGTCCGTACCCCTCTTTTCCACTGTTTAATAACGCACCGCGTAAGCTTCGTGAAGGTGGAAAGTCGGAGTAGTATTAGAGGCTATTAGAGACGCATAGAACCCGTTCGTACCCCAAAATCTGGTTTAGTGTAAATTCCATTCGTAATTTCATTATACTTGATAATTGCAATATCGCCAATTTCTTAACCTTGTAAATCTTGTAAACTAGTAATGATTGTTTTATGTCTAGACGATGAAGGTCGAAATCTCAACTAAGGAACTGTGTTTTTGTTAATATAAAATGATAGAGAATGTAATAGATTATGGAATAAATCAGTTTATTGCCAGTTGGAAATTTGCTAATATAATTAAAATTAAAATATTATAACTTGAATTTTTTCAGGCATTACAATAAACCAGAAATGCGGCCTAATAACGAGCGGTTATTTGTAAAGGGGAGTCCTCTTTATTGATACTTTTTCTTTCTAAAAGGAAAAAGAGAAGTGTAAACAAGTGGCACAATGCTTTTGTCCAATTGCTCCTTAATTTAATTTATTATGCCTCGACAAGGGAGACATCAACTCCAATTTGAAGTTAATCACTTTATCGCGTTATTGCAAGTGAGCCGTAATAAGAGTTTATTTTATTTCTTTTCTAACTTTAAAACCCGACATGACACTATACTCCTAAAGTTTCACAGGAAAGGATTTCCATTAGTATAGTTAAAGTATTTAGACAACAGAACACGCCAGTAATTAAAAATAAATATATATCTGTTAAGAAAACACCAATTTATTCAAGGAGTTAACTTTCATAAATTCATTGAATAAGTAAAACGACGAGGCACTGCTGCGAAAACTAAATGTTTATTTTGGGCGTATAAAGATGGTGTTATCAGCTTAGAGTTCCATCATTAATGCGTTGCGAGCCGGTAATATGCTTGCTAAGAGCTACATGTCTTATCACTAATGACTTTATTATACTCTTTCACCACCCATTATTTTCAGATGCAATCCCTATAAAATATTTATGTTTAACCCTGGCCCTCATAAATTAAACCTTCTCCGACCACCGTGTTTCATATTTATGGCCCATTTAAACAATATTAACCTTTCAGTTTATTGAAGGACAATTTAGAAAGTGAAACAAATATTTTCTTTATCAAGTCATAGTTCAACAAACTAGAATATATTATAATTTAAAAACGTTAATAACAAAAGGAAAGAGAAATCCTAAAACAGAGATACAACTTTACATAACAAATAGTATTCCAACAGTATGTATCCTTCTACATACAACTACTGAATGCTATCAATAAATAAATATCAAAAATATAAGCGCTTACTTTTAATTATATTCGAGTAATCAATTTTACTGAGCTTTCGCGCTTCAATTTAGAATCTAAGTACCTGTAATTTAATAATCAAAAGTTATCCCAATCCATAGCCCCAAACCGTTACAGTCTTAAGACTTATAGCTAACAAGAGTTTAGGCAGTGAGTTTAATCTCTGCCCTGCTTCTTATGCAAAGTGGTTTATTTCCTTATCACACTGAGGAATGCCTACCGCCCATAAAATCCTGTTAATGTGCCTAACAACACCTCGCTATATGAAAAAGACAAATCTTCAAATCAGTATTCGAAAAATTTATCGATAGTGTGAAGGTTTAATTTTAAAAGGTTTAATTAATAACCCGCGTCTAGATTTTCAACTATAAAATCATAGACGTGCGGACATGTATCAAATTGGTTTATGTTAACATGCGGCTTAAAATAAATAGAAACTTTTTGTTTTGTCATTCTTAGGCAAAATGTGATTTTCTATCCAAAATATGAAATAAATATAAACAAGCAATATTTTTGATCCAGCCCCAAAACGCTAAAAATGCAATGAAAACAACTGTCTGAAGGAAACTGACAGAGTTGGTGGGACCGGAAGAGAACCTCTCGTATGAAAAGTAATGTCGATTATGTGACCATAATGTAAGAGAGGAAATAGGTCTTTTTTATTATATACATCGCTAATAATTTTTCCCTAGCTATTGTTGAAAGTGAACGCATTTACTAGCGTGAATGGTAATGGTAAGGTTGGTGACCCATCGACCCTCAATTAGATTTGTTAAAAATAGGTGTACGGTGATGGATGAATTCGAGTACTCTACCACCCAATTGTATGGAAATGGCATAAATTAGTGAGAGTGTGAGAAATTAGTCGATCTGTCCCACCTAATTGATGAGTGAACTCCTTCAAACATGCAAGGCCTAAGATTCGTAACAGGCGCGTTTAGGACAAGCCCGCTCGATAGCATCTACGTAGATGCAGGGATTCTACCTCCTGCCTTGAAAAGTTAATAAATAATGCTAAAATATCATACAAGTAAATGAGCGAGGCCGGACTATTTCTTTTATAAGACCCTTATCGACCCTAACTCCGGAGAAAGACATACCTCCTGAGGACTCGTATGAGGCCGCTGGCCATAAGGGCCGAGGAAATATAAGCGGCGTGGGGAATAGAACTGAACCTGGTGGAGGCAGAAAAGCTACCTGAAACGTCCGCCTGGTTACTCCCCGCCTTCATCGTTCGGTGGGATATGGCCAAATTAAAGAAAAACGAGACCCGGTCACGAACCACCAACCCAAATTTTCCTTTATTTAAACAGTATCTTTATTACCCAACAACAAACGAACCAAAACTTAAATTAACCAAAACAACCTTCGATATAAAATTATTAAGAAAAATACAAAGGAAACTCTTTTCCTTCTATTAAAATTTACAAT